TGGCCAACTGCTTCACCCTGCGGTGTCCCAGGCGCCTCCCCGCCTAGGCTTTGGCTATAGGCCGGGGTCGGCGGATTTTTGGTAGTTGCATGGAGATTGATCACCAAAACATCGAGAAATACATCGCTTGTAACTCTGCAGCGCGCAGACACTCGACACTCGCAAACATTAACCCGCAAGAAACCTTTAATTGCGTAGGTTTTTTGGGCGCAGCCACTCATCACCAAACAGTTTTAAACACAACTCATGTTTATATTCGTGTTGAGCTTTGGTGCACCAAAAATTCATAAGACATTTTTGTTTTGTAATTGTTGGGTGATGGGTTTCTGCGCATCAAAACAACCGCTGGTTCCTATCGCTTTTTGGTGATGAGTCGATTCTTCTACGCCCCGCGCAACCACAACAAACAACTACTTCTCATAGAGTCATTGATGTTCCTTTTTGCGCACCGCGCGCCCCCAAAAACACAGAAAAGGACGTTATACGGGTGTGTGTTTTCCAGTGTTCTCGAAAACGCTTGTTTCAGGACTTTGCATGTTGAAGGTGTTCAGACGTTGAGGACGAGACCTTGTAGTTGTTGGTAGGTGCTCGTTGTCTGCTCGTGAGTAGTAGTCTTCCTAGTTCACCAGATCTTGGGGGGGTCGGCCAAAAACACCGTTTAGATTTTTGGTGGTACCATTCTTTTTTTGGCCGACCACCCCCTGGTACTACCTGTGCCGCATCAAGCTCCGACAGGTCACAGGATGAATGGCGTGAAGCTCCCACAGCTCACGGGGTGAGTGGCGTTTACCATCACCATTGCCATTGGCATTGCCACAGGTTAAGTTAAGGGTGAATGGCCATTACCAGCATTATGGCCCAGTAGTATTACCACTTCTATTGGCATCAGCGTTAGCATCACTTACCAATGGCATGCCCAGTACTATTAGCATTATCATTAGCATCAAACCCGCGCAGGTCAAAGGGTGAATGGCGTGACCATCACAGTTGTCATTAGCATTGCCATTACCATTGGCGTAACCATTACTACAGGTCACAGAGTGTGTGGCCTCAACCTCCCACAGGTCACACAGTGATCGGCATCAAGGTGCCGCAGCTCACTGGGTGAATGTCGTTATCATCACCATTGCCATTTGCGTTGCCATCGCCATTTGCATTGACATTGCTGCAGGAACTGGCATTGCCATTGTGATCCGCATTGCCACAGGTCAAGGGTGAACGGCGTCAAACTTCCACTCTCACAGGTCACAGGGTGCATAGCTCCCACAGGTCAAAGGGTGAATGGCGTTGTCATGAGCAAAACCAGTGCCATTAGCACTGCCACACGTCACAGGGTGAATGACCATTACCCTTACCCGTACCCTTACCATTACCATCAACATTACCATTGCTATTGGCATCAGCGTTAGCGTTGCCATTAACGCGCCACAAGCATTAGCATCAGCATCAAGCTCCCACAAGTCACAGGGAAAATGGCATTCTGGTGAATGGCATCAAAAAGAAAACAAAACATTGGAAAACACACACCCGCATAGCGTCCCGCTTTTAAAAAACACATATAAACCCGTGTTTCTTAGTACGTGTTTGCGCATTGGTTTCTGTGCGTTATAAACAAACAAGTAAGGAAAATCATGCTGAACAATATACTGTATGCTGTCCAATGCTTGTGTTGCGCACACACACACACCAACAATAAATTTTCTATTTGTTAGAGTCAATTGAATTATTTTCTTTCTTTTTGGGCTCACTGCTGTCAAATGCGTGCTCGCCCAAGCAACGTGGTGAAGTGAAGTGAATCCAACGGCTATGAGGGGTTATTTGCCAGTGTGTTCACTCCCCGGTTAAGCCCTCATGAACTCTCATGTCTGAAAGCTTTGCCCTCAACATGGGATTCTCATTCAAGACATTCTCTTATTTTTCCCGCATCTTCAAAAACTCACAACACCTGGGTTTACTGGGAACCGAACCTGATTTTCAGCTTTTGTTGCTGTAATTATTGAACCGTGATTCAATGCATTCTGCAAGCAGTCTTGTCTCACAAACAGACACAAGAGCATGGAAGCTAGGGTTTATAACATTAAAGAAGTGTAGTATAGTTTATCATGTTCTAAGTGGCTGACTCTGTGTATGTAAAGTGAGATGTGACGCTGTTTGAAGCCTTTGTAAAGCATCTGTAAACAGCAGCAGTTCATAATCTCAGGCTGAGTTTTGAATGGACAGCCATGGATGGCACCATTTCGGTTGGACAACGGTTGGAGCCAGCATGCCAGGGACATGAACAAAGGCATCCATATCTGTTTGCCTCCACTCTTGGATATTAAGAAGCGCAGCGAAGCATAAAGACGTAAAGTGCCTTGATTCCTACCCACATACAAATACACCAAGTAGCACCAATGCAGCACTATGGCTGAGGATTGAAGAATGTCAGATTTCATGACGGCTGTCGAGTTGTCACTCGCATTGAGGTCGACTCGGCTGTATTGGGTACCGGTCCTGAGTCGCAAGAGAGGACCCTGGACGAGTGAGCAGCGAGCTGCACAGACCAAATCACCATACTGTATACTGGTATTAGTGGCGCAACATGTCAGCGTTTTGGACACGAAAAGTGATCCAAACTCTGAAGCAGTTCAACAGCTGAAGCAGTTCAACAGCTACCGCACCAAGGCCCTTCTTTCCAACTCTGTTGTCTTCAAGCAGGACCGTCGCCTTCCAGCTTTTTGTTGGTTGAACAAGGACCTGGACCCTTTCACTCGCAAGAGATAGACCTACAGGGATCACATCAAGCAGATGCTCGGTGGTGTCTAGCACAGCTGCTCAGGACACAAAAGCCTGCAATTGGTACTCTGATCGGTTCAGACCTCAGGTGACTCTTTGGATCTCTCGTGCTTCAACAAACGGCCCATGGTGAAGCTATGTGAATAGACTTGCTTCACAGCGACGAGCCTACACATGTTGATACGTGTTGATATGAGTGAGCGAATCAACATGAATCAACCAACTCATGGAAAAAAGACTTGCTGAGGTGTCCGCACCTGCTGATCCGACTGAGGCTACGACACCTGGTTCACGTGGTGCGCGTGCGCCGGGACCTGTCCGATCTCCCGCGCCAGGCGAAACGGTGGAGCCAACGTGGAGTGGATTTTCCCAGCAGTGGAGCTGATGAGCAACAGTGACCCTGTGAAGTCCGTCTTTTTGTGAGAACTATCGGAAAAGTCATGGAACCTTCCCGCTTCTTCCCTACATTTAAATAGATATATATATATATAAATATTGTTTTTCAACCGCATGCTATATATGTATACACATAATATATTATATATATTTATATATCTCCCTCTCTCTCTCTATATATATATTCCTTTAGATTCAAACGAGTCAACAAAAACGCTTGGCAGTGGTCAGGTGCGCCATATGCTGTTGCGCCCCAGCCTTGCGCGGAGCGTGGCGCGGCGCGGGGCGCAGTTGGCACGCTTGTGGCTGAGCCATGAGGCGGGGCCGATGGTGTCGGTGAATTCAGATAAATTCAGCGATTTGCCGAAGGAAGGAGCAAGGACGCTACTAGGGGCTCCTGGCCGTACTACTAGGAGCAAGGATGCTACTAGGAGCAAAGGGCATCGCTACTAGGAGCAAGAAGCTACTAGAAAACATCTTGGGCAACTCCGAAAAAGCACTGCGGGAGGAGAACTAGTCTGAAGCTTCAGGAAACTACAAACTTCCAACGCCAGAGGCACAACTGGCAGACTACTTGCTTCAAACAGGGAAATTAAGTGTACTCCGAAATGTTTTCATCTTCCAGGTCTTCTCTAATTATGTCACTAGACCATACTACGCCACTATTTTGTTGCGCTGCATACCCCTTTGTTCGGGGGAGATTTGCTTGGAAGTTGGTCTATGTCCCACATATCTTGTCTGTCAGTGAGTCAGTGAACATTGATTTTCAGAGATGACCTCTGCAAATGAAGATAACGAAGAAGACAGATGTTCCGTGCATGACAGTCTGTGACTGTTAAAAAGGGGTTTTCAATTTCATCCCAGGTATCCCTGGAACAAAAAGATTGTAACACAATCAAAGGGATGGTGAACTGGTTATCCCTGAGCATCCAATCTTCATCCCTCACACTGATCAGGATGCCATGCACTACCTGGCACGGGTCTTGGCTGCGGTGGCCGATGCCCAACGCGGGCCCAGTGCGAGATCAAAAGCGAGCCTCGCTTCTTTGCGGAACTGTTCGTGGAACACATGCCACCTTTGTGTAACTTGCACTTTGCTTGGGACAATTGACTCTTCTCCCTAAGGTTGGAAGGCTCTTGTTGTAAGTTTCAGGTAAGTATTGTACCTTCTATTGCTTCCTTTGGAACCTTTGGAAGACTTGGCAACTGACTGCCATTGACTGCAACTCAGTTGGCAGAAGCACCATAAATGGTCGGCAGTGCCGTATTGAAATGCTGTTGTAGTTTTACAGACAAAGATTGAATTGATAGCAATGAAATGCTATGAAGCTGTTTATGGCCCAAGCGGAGGGTCAGCTGTGCTGAACTTGAATGCAAACCTCACTTGAGTCAGGTGCTGAAGGGGATCAGTGCGTTTAGGGGTGACTCCACTGAATTGCTGCGAGTTCCGGGAATGTAAGGCATCCAGATATGCACATTATTTGGTTTCAAGTGAGGTGTACGATCGTTTTGTACATGCTGCCGTCCATCACAAGGTCGACCATTTTGCTGGTGTCCAAGACGCATGACACATCAAGTTGTGGTTTTACATTGGAGTGTATTTCATACGCAGGCCATGGCCCAATCAACATGTTGAAGGTGGTTAAGAGCTCTGAGTTTCTCCCTGAACGAGAATCTTCGGATTCTGTCAGATGCAGATTCTGTTTTTCTCCCAAAACAGCGACCGACCGCCGACCGCGCAACCGATGGATGTGGATCTCGAACGCTCCGACTCACTGCGCTCAGAGTCGTTGGGCAGCCGATTGAAGCAACGATGTGTCGAGGTGGAGAGTTTTCTCGACGTTCATCACTCTGACTATGATACACTATTATATTACTATTACCTTTTTTATTTTTGTTTTAAACTTTTTATATACTCTTGTTTTAAACGAAAGACGGCCGCTCGACGGATGAAGTAGAGGGAAGTATGGAATGATCAGAGTAACTACGCAGTAGTGATTCATGATCAAATCCGTGAACAGCAAAGATGCAATCTCAAAGATGACAGTCCAGGTGGAGTTTTGGTTTGACATGGTTTGGCATCAATCTGGTGGGGAGAAGAGCTGTCGTCTCAAATTCATTCAACAACTGTCCACTGACCGCGGCCATGATCAATGGATTGAAGCACAACCGCCACATCTACATTGGAAAGATTCTACATGCACTCCATGTGTCAACTTCTCGATTGCAAGAACAGGGGGCAGTGGGAGAGATATTGTTTATATAGATAGATAGAAACACAAACAAATAGGGCAGATACATTCTGTGTCTTTTCCTCTGATTGAAACCTCCAATTGATATTTCTGGACTTTGCGCCGTCAAACTTCCAGACCACGGTCGTTGGAGCTGCAGACCTCTCCTCTCAGCGAATCCGCCCCGATCTCCATGCCAGGAGATCTACTTTGTTTGGAGCGAATCCGAAGAGCTCATGCTGGAGTTTGCGCAGTCCGTGCCATATTTTGCCCACTTGCCACGTGAAGAGGCGCTCCGCCACCGAGCCTTGCGATGGAATCCCTTGTGGTGGTTGAGTATCTTGGGCTGCGCCGCATGCATTCTACTTGGTCACGGTTTCCACACAGCCTGCTGCCAGGGCGGGCAAGTGAGATCGGATGAGCGACTCAGCTTGCGATCGGGAAGGCTCATGAGGAAACTGAACCTGGGAAGGAAAATATTACGTTTGGGATTCTGGCAATTCTTGTGTTTATCCAGCAAACGCTTCGCTTCCCTCCACCTTCCTCACCACCTTCCTGCTTTGGATGCGGAGTGCTTTTCAGTCATCTGACCCAAACAGCTTTGCTGTTGGAGCGCTGAGGCTGGAGGTCGAACGGCGGGCCAGAATCTGGTGGGTCTATTGCTACTCCGGGGGCTTTGTGGGCACCGTCCTGACCGACCTCATTGCTTTGGTGTCTGCTGTGGTCACAGAGACCGATCCTGAGGACCGGTGTTTGCCTCGCTACTAGTAACAAGTGCAACGCTACTAGTAACAAGTGCCTCGCTAGTAGTAACAAGTGCCTTACTAGTAGTAAGAAGAAGCTATTAGCTTATTGGTTCTACTAGCTTCTTGTTACTACTAGTGATGGCTTCCAGACGAGTGATGACCCAAGTAGCATCCGTTTGCTGAAAGGTGGGCTTTTCCGGTAGATGCACCAACTGTGCAGGAGAGGAACAGGACGGTACGGTCTTGTGAAGTGGCTATTTTGATTCAGATCTGGTACATGGTGGGCGATTGGAATTTGCTTTACCGGATGAGTCGCAACTTGGAAGGAGATCATACGTCGTTTGCCGCGTGAAAGGTGAGTTCCCATCATCTCCACATATGGTATGTTGCTGAGGATTTTATCATTTGTTACAATTGTTTAAATCTATCCTTGAAAAGCAATCCTCAACCATTCATGCGAAGACACTGTGTTTCAACGAGGCAAAGACACCGTCTTGATGCATGCCGCTGCCATCAGCCGCGTGACCTTTGGCGCGGCCTTCCTGGTTGCGTCACCCGTCAGGGAGCGGGAATGGCCGCCATGAGTTCTAGTTTGTAACTACTTGTATAATCTTGTACATTGTATATACATATACAGGCTGGGGAAAACTGACTAAGGCAGGTGTTGAAGGTGCAGTGGAAACTCTTGGGCTGCGTCGAAGGGAAACCGTACCCGTCAGGGGCAGCATCCATTCCCACCCAGCTGTCCGAAGCCCTGAGTTTTCATAAGTCTTCATGAATGAATGGCCTCCAACCTACTAGTGATGGCCTCCAACCTACTAGTGATGGCCTATGAGTCTTCATGAATCCATTTGCGCCCGCTCTGCCCAGGTTTGTGATTGGACTCCTCACCCCTGCGGGCGAAGCCATCTTGGAACACTGGTTTTGGGGCCGCGCACCGCCGCCACCCCCCGGAACACCAAAGCCACCACCGCCTCCGCAGGAGACTGCCGGTTGGCTCAACCCGGAGAGACTCACGCCCCAGAGAGTTGTTGTGGTAGCATTTCTTCATAATTGTTGATGAAGGTATTGTATAAAGCTGGATCCTAGCCTTTTCAACAACTGTTTTTGGCTGCACCAAACCGAAAATCAGGAACAGACATGTTGACCTTGTGTTCAAAGCTCTCATGGTTGTAGAATGTTGTAGATGTCTTGGTTTGAGGCAAGATTGATTGGAACATTCTGGCATGCAACCAAGGCCATTACATGGATCATCCGCTTGGTCTTCTGTGCCTTCATGGTGATTGCATATTTGGGCTATACGCCCTTACTGCGCTTGGACTATCAGTCCCCGGATCTCGAGGTCCAAGACGCACAAAACAGAGGCATCTGGAAATTAAAGGTGGGGATGTGGGAGAGACATGGAGAGATGCTTTTCGTGGATTGGGACTGTTTGGAGTCAAAGGACAAACAGAAGGAACAGACATGAATAGACTACGTATGACTGTATGACTAATGACGATGTGAAAGACTGACTTAGTGAAAGCAATCAATAAGCTCCCATGCGTTCCTTTACACACAATCTGGCATGCATGCAATACATGAGGCAGGAAGGAATGCAGGAAGAAATCCCTGTTGCAGTCAAGAGCATGGATTTCTTCATGCATCATGGTACCGGTAAGAGCTCCAAAGAACGCTACTAGGGGCTCCTGGCCGTACTACTAGGAGCAAGGACGCTACTTGTGATAGGACGGAATTCTTCGGGTCCGCCTTGGAAGGTCGCCCTTGTGGCAGGGGTCTTGGTGCTGGCAGCCGAAGGCTTCATGTTTTCCAGGCCAGACAGAAGACGAAGGATTTGATGTCTTTTTCTGAAGAACCTGGTTTGCACTTGGTCTCGTTCTTTCAGATCTTTCCAACCATCCAGGGGCCCTGGCTTGTGGATGCTTGCAGCCCAGCCCTTCTTTGTGCTGGGGACGGCATACCTCATGGAGGTGGGTGGTTGTGGTCAGAAGATTATCCAACAACCGCCATTAGTGCGCATGAGAGACTCTGGGCCAATGGGTTTGGTTCATTGGGTGTGCGTTGATAATTTAGGTGATGCTGGTAATGCAAGGCTAGAACATTTGGACTTCCAGCATCACTTAATCTATTGTCAATGAGGGTGGTGACTGCATCAAAATGATGGAATGGCTTTCGTCTCCCCTTCCCTTTAACCTGTTGGTTTTCAATCAGGCTTCACCATTGTTATTTTTTACAATCCTCTTTCTCATCGACTACCTTGGACCCCCTCATTTGTTCTGTGTGCACAATTTGTTATTTTGTGTGGTGGTAGAATTTGTTCTGTCAGTCTCACTGTCAGGGCCGGCAGCTGAGTTGCCGACGATCACTCGCTGCGCTGGGCGCAGTTTTTCCCTTCGTTGTGGTGGGTAGTGGCTTTGCAGCCTGTGGCCCTGCGCTTTGGTCGATCCTGGCAGGGAGTTGAAGTCGTTCGCGAGCCGTCGTGAAGTAAAGCGGACTTCAAGGACCTGTCACCGCTGCGTTGAAACAATTGTTGCCAACTTATGCCAGCTTTCACCGAACTTGCCTACCTTGAAAGACACCCTTCAAGGAATACAATCAGTCTAGCTCTCCAGAATCAGGGCAGTCGTTTGTGCTTGAGATTTATTATGCTCATGCTCGATGCTTGCCGCTTGTGTGCCGCATCAGCTTCTTCGGCCCAGCCACTCTGTCCGCAGGACTTCCCTGTGTGACATTCTCCAATTTCCAGTCCAGATCATCCGACGAATCAATCCACAAGCCCAAAAAACCACCACATGAAACAGCGCAGTGGTGCGTTTGGCAGAATCATAGCACCCAGCCCCTTGCAGCCAATGCCCAATCTGTGAAACACTTCAAAACAAGCATATAAACAATATCAAACAACTCTGTTTCCCACCGGGAACATTTTTCTGAGCTTTATTTCAAGAGCAGAGTTTTTCCACCATGCAGCCCACCATGCAGCGAACCAAACACGAATCGACGACGGTGAAGATCACTGGCCGGCCACAGCGATGCGATGTGTACGGCCGGTGCTTCTGTGCTGCCGGAGCGAGGAAGCTCAGACATCGCTCCGCGAGGCAGCACAGACGCGGACGATGCACGAGAGGCCTAATGAGGGCCTTTGATCTTCCTACTCCGAGAGGTCACTATACCCCTTGAAGAGTCGAAAAAAGAATTAGGAACAAAGGGAAGGTAAGGCCCCTTTAAAATTTAATTGTTCTTTTGCTATGACCGCAATACCTTAAAGCACTGCTTGGGTTGTTGCCTTGTTGCCTTTCCTTTTTTGTCCACTCGAGGGCATTGAGTTGCTGTGCTCACATGACTCAACAAACTCCGAAGTTTCCCAACTGGGTTGTTGTGAAGAGCAGTAAAGCAACTTTTGCTTTACTATGCTACCAACATCATTTTGCTATTCCTTGTCCACCGATTGTTTGCTTTCCGTTCTCCCAAGGCCTGCGGCCTTCAAGCGCACGCGCGGCCTCTTGGACCTCCCTGACGGAGGATGGGAAGGGATGCGCATTGGGAGGGCAAACGACCGGACCTGTCGATGGCCTCCAACCTAATAGCAGTGGCCTCCAACCTACTAGCGATGGCCTCCAACCTACTAGCGAGGGCCTCTAATCTGAGGGTCTTTCCTATGTTGTCCTTATGTTGTCCTTTGTGCAAAAAGAATCTTGTCAAAAATAAAACAGGTCGATTTGGGAAGGAGACTGGTCAAAGTGGGGAAAATGTTTTGTTCTACTCCATCTATCAAATCTGAAGGACAATTTTTCACTTCACGGGTAGCGTTTATTTACACGAAACTCGACCATGCGGAAATTCTGGAGATTCTGAAGCTTGGAACAATCATCGCGATGGCAGGCACTGAGAAGATGGGCTCCCCCGACATTTGCCGCTTGGACGTGTCGTGGTGTCTCCGAAACGGCTTGGTGTTCGACACATAGTAACAAGAAGCTACTAGTAACAAAGGGCATCGCTACTGGTGGCAAGAAGCTACTAGTAGCTCCTGGCACTACTACTAGGAACAAGAAGCTATTCAGTGCTCTGAACACTCTTTCCCCTTCCAACCATAGCGCTAGCCTTCAGTGGCTGAAGTCCCCAACACGTTGGTTAGCCAACCACTGCCTTGACTATGGAATTCGTTCATACTCTCAAGCCGGTTGGACCACTTTTGGTCTAACATATTCTGAAATCAGTTTTAGTCACTCAAAAGCGGCATAGGTATCAAAAAAAAATAAAAATAGCATCAAAAAAAAACAGGATCAAAAAAATTAAAAAACGAATCAAAAAAACATATTCCTTGATAGGCCTCTTCTGCTGCTCTCCTGGCCTTGTGGTCTGCGGGTCCTCTGGTAATGTGGTCCCTTGGTCCCTTGGTCCTCTGGTCCACTGGTCCTTTGGTCCCCTGGTCCCTTGGTCCTTTAGTCCACTGGTCCCCTAGTCCTCCGGTCTCCTAGTCCTCTGGTCCTGTGGTCCGCTGGTCCCCTGGTATCCTAGTCCTTCTGTCTCCTGGTCCGCTGGTCTTTTGCTCTCCTACGGCGCTCGTCTGTCGATCTCCTGGTCCCCTGCTTGCGCAAATAGAGGCTTGATCGAAAAATGGTTCACCAGTGGAAATAGCTCCCTACTAGGAGGGAGCTCCTGGGGAGGTACACTCTCCTCTACTACCCCAACCATCCTCAGTGGGCTAGAATATTTTTTTTTGATTACCTTTTTATTTTTTTTATTGATCCCCGTTGAATATGTTTTTTTGGATTCTATTTTTATTTTTATTTTGATCCCTTACCCCTCAAAAGCCTCCTGCCTTGAGAAAAGAAAGGCGACCAGAAGCTTTACAGATCAGGCCGATCGGGGCCGCCACGTGGGCGGGAGTCGGACGCAAAGACATCCTTACCACAGGGGACCAGTGGCGAGTAAGTTTAGAACCTGGGCTAGCAGATTTGGAAGATAGGCGACTGGACCCTCTTGGGGTTCTCGCTCAAGATTGAACACGCTGATTGTTCACAGCCCGCTTAGCAAGTGTTATCACAGAGGATTGTTCCATATGGTTTCATGGTTTCCAACTTGGCTGTGGCCGAAGCTGCCAGGTTACCCTTGTCAAGGACACAGGCAGGACTGCACAGTAGTTTTCATTCAATAGTTCTCCAGATTTGAGGATGCAGCTGTACAGCTTGCCTGGTCGACTCGCACGTTTTATAATGTTCAAAAGTTAAAGAGTGTGGTGGCCAGTTCCTTTTTTCCGGGTGGGCAGTTGCCCTTTCTTTATGCGCAGCCTCAACAACTTGCAAGATAAGGACTGTGTTCGCAGTGTTTCAATCTTGGAAGACACCTGACTGCCTCTTCAAACGGAGTTGTTGATGCTTGTTGACTCCTTTTGATTGCAAAGCTAGCATTATGCATTTGGGAGTTGAGTTCGAACGGATTTCATGCCTCCATCGCAGATGGTGATGGTGCACCGTCTGCAGATGATGCAACGCCTACACCATTCAGGTGCTGTGAAAAGCAATGCTCACAGAATTGACTATGAGAGCTGCGTTGCACCCATCATGATTCCCTGAACTTAGAAAAACTTCTAGAACACTTGGCCGCTTGGCCATGTGGTTGTCACGCTTCAACAAGCCTGGGTGTGGTTGGAGGCATCGCTATTAGGTTGGCGGCCACCGCTAGTAGGTTGGAGGCCATCGCTAGTAGGGTGGAGGCCATCGCAATTAGAAACAAAGAAAAGGAAACGGAAGAAATGTCTAATCCGTATAATATAGTTTGCAATTAGGTTGGAGGCCGTTGCTCTTTTGCTTGGCAAGGCCGCATCCGATGAGTTTGAGGTCGAGCTCTTAGACGCACAGCAGAACCTAAAGGACAAAAGTTCAAGTAGACAGACGTAGACCCCGACATAGACCACAAATAGAAAAAGAGCTTTGATGTTCACCCCCAACAAAAAAGAATTAGGGTGGAGGCCATCGCTAGTAGGTTAGAGGCCATTATATACTACTAGTAGCCAGAAGTTATTAGGGTACTTCAAAGAGTATTTGAGATCCAGAAATCTTCTTCCCTACGGTTTGTCGCGGCCCCAACGACCTGAGGTTTGCCTACACCACGAAGCCCTTCTTCCCCATATACGCGCGCCTGTCACGCGTTCGCGTTGGACGGTCCCGGTTTGGGACGCGGCTGGGGGAAGATGCGGCTGACCCAACGATCCAAACCGCGTCGTGGTTGAGGTTGAGGGTTTCCAGCACTTCCCAGGTGTGAATTCACGGAGTTCTCTTTTCACAACTTTCCGAGACCCTTTACGGACAGTGTTTGTCCGCAGAAATTGGAAGGAGCTTGGGTGAGACTCTTGTTGCTTCATGTGGAAACACACGTTCAATCTCACATGGACAAGACAAAAGGAGGTTTGTCGAAACTGGTTTGGCTATTTATATATTCGTTTATTCCCTTCTGTTGTCATTGATATGTTGAGTTTATCATTGTTGTTGTCGTTGCAGAGCCGACACAAGGAGCTGGCATTCTTCTTGACCTGCTTTTGAAACCTAGGCTTTACCCGAGATTCCAACCACCCCAAGTAGTCAGTGTTTCTGTTATGGGGATAGCTGACAAGACTCTGGTGGTAAAGAAGATTCTTGTCCACCATGGATCCTGTGAGATTCAGTAGCTGAAGGCCAGTCACAACTAGGCTGTATATAGACCCCCAAATACTAGATAGAAACGTAGATCCCCACTAAAAATGTTTTGGACACTGTGCCACTGTCTATATTTGGGGATCACTGCACTATAAGTCCAGCTTAGCCGCTAAGTCCTGCACAGTCCGACCTCTCCAAAGGGTCCGCTCCACGGTCCGTCCGATCCGATCCGCAGACCAGAAATCTGCGAGATTTGTGGAAGAGGAAGAAAGGCAAGAAGTTGGGCAAAGGTATGTGGGGCACCCAGTGCATCGCACGCAGCCTATGTGTAGCACTTTTTTTTTGGTACACTTTCTCCACTGAAGTGAGAAGAATCGACGAATCGACAAGACGGTACATCCCACTTATGACCACATGATTTGTGAATGGCTTTTCGTTGATCGAATGTGATGTTGTTTGGGCAATGCCAGCGTTTGTTGGGTGTCAATGTGCCTCACTCAGCTTTTTTCATTGCTTTGCGGTCTGAGATCTGAGGCAGGGCGATCGTGGTCTTTACTGGCGATCGAAGCGGCAGAAGGGCAAGCAGGCCACCAGGGAGGTCCTGACATGCTGGGCCAAGCTGCACCCTTCCTTGCAGCTTTCTGTGCAACAAAAAACCGATGATTCTCGAGCCAACGGGCGAGTAAACGGTAGAGTGACTCAGGCTGCTCTAGGGAAAAAGTGACTCTGCTGCTGGGCTCAGTTATGTATATATATATAATATATATATATAGTGCATAGGCATAGCTTTACCCTGTGGCTGCTACCTTAAGAATTCATTGTGTAGTAAGACCAGAATGTACAAAGGCCCATATATATATATATGTATATTTGAATCGAGATGTCTGTTGACCTCAGACCTCCGAGTTCCTCCCAGTTCCTCCCAGTTCCTCTCCTTCTAGCACTTCAGTCTTTACTTATCAAGAACTGAGGGGTGAAGAACAGAAATGGTCAGGAATGGTGGACCGAGTTTGGGATTGGTTCTCTCGACTTGATTAGGCGCGCACCTGGGAGCGAGGGAACTTCCCACTCTTCAAGCGCCTTCCCAGATGGCCAGAGGCGCAACAAGCTGCGAGGGCGCTGTGAGAGAAGTTTACGTCACAGAACATACCTCATGAAACCCAAAAGACTCTGAGATAGCTCAATGCCTTGCCACACATCTAATTGTTTGTTGACTCAACATCGTGCCCAACTCCAAGAGCCTTGTGGCCAGGCCCACATGCGCGGAAAGAGGGACTACCTTGATCCACTCAACTTGTCCAAGCTGCAGACACCTCAGTGGCTATGTAAGCATGAGGTAGTTGGAATATATAGCTGGGTAATGAATGAAGAGACACATAAATTTGGAGCCACAAGGTTCTGATGCTTCTGAAGAAAGTTTGGATTGCTCTGGCCCTAAGAATGTCGTCCAGAGATCTATCGGTGAACCACTGTGATTTTAGTTTCCCCAAAAATCTAGGAACCACATGAATAGTGCGAGCGTGAGCTATCCTGCGTCCATATGTAGGACTTGTAGCGTCCACTTGTAGGTACTAACTACCTAGCTACTACCAGCTACCTACCTTGCTACTACCTCTTCGCAGCCTCCCCCCCCAAAAATCAAACAAAAACAACAAAGGCCGGCAACACCTGAATGTTTGTTCCAAGGCGCTACTTCATCCAGAAGGGTCGCCTGGACCGTGGATCGAAACAGATGCAGAGCTGTGACTGGCGTTTGTGGCCTGCCTTGCCCCAACAAAACCCATGCGAGGAAGGGCTGCTCGTTGGAGCAAGAACAAGTTGGCTGGTAATACAGGAAGATTCTTTCGTGCGTTTCGCCACATTCGCATGATGTGCAATCAATAGGTCGGGTCGCTCTCCAACTATCACATCCGTGGAAGAACCCTTGTGTAAACTGGTGTCGGAACTTCTGGACTTCTGCATTTGCAGTGAGAGTTATGAGGTGACGAGATACATTTCAGGGCAAGAGATCCGGCACAACACAGTCTGGTGAGCGATCAGCAGGCTAGGAGCAAGAAGCTACTACTCGTAGTAGCTCCTGGCCATACTACTAGGAACAAGAAGCTACTAGTAACAAGGCGCATCGCTACTAGTAGCAAGAAGCTACTAGTAGCAAAGGGCACCGCTACTAGGAGCAAGAATCTACTAGTAGCTCCTTTGGAGAGAATTGTGATGGCCATGTTCCAGTCTTCGTTTCCCGACTGCAGGACACCCGCTTTCCCATCACGCAACGCCACCTGCAGGAATCCAGGAGACAACCGGGACACATGTGAGGAAACGGGCAAAGCAGGAGCAGTTTGCTGTTACAGGACCCTCGTGAGTTACCATGTCCAAGTTGGCTGTTTGTTGAGCAGCAGGTCTGTCAGATGTTGCCGCCGGAGTCGCGGGATTACCATGCAAAGACATTCAGGTTTTTTTCGGACATAAGCTTCCCACATAGTATACATGTTACATAGATGACGTAGATATACATAGCGTAGCGAAGGTCAAACAGGAAAGTCACAGGAGGACACACGAAAGAGTATTAGCATGTCCCCAAATTTGACATCCCAGGCAAGTTTATTTAAGGGCCATGTGCATGTCTAGCTTTTGGTTGCTTATACTTCCTTTCAACTGGTGAAACTGCAGTTCCATCCCGCCGCAACAGGTGTGTGAAGAGAGTCAAGAAAGGTGTGAAGCTGTTCAACGTCGGGAGCCTTTGGCACGAACGGTGATGATTCCATCCTGGCTCCACCATCAGGACCTGGCAATTAACCAACCAATCTGAATCGACAGGTAAATCATAAAGCAGCAAGATCGCACAGAGACACAGCCAACAACTCAATTCTACTTTGTTTTCGACAGCATTTTCATTGCCTGCCAACACTTCTGGCACCTCCCCAATCTTAGGTTTTAAAGAAACAGTGTTTCTTTGGTCGTTGGTTGTTGAGTTTCTCAAACACCCACCCCCTGCATGTCAGGTGAACGATTTTCCCTTCCCTTACAAGATCGACATTGAGGCGGAGGGCAGTGCTGCGTCGTGTAGCAGTTCTCTTTAGCTGCAGCATTTCTACTGGCCTTGGACAATGCAGTTCTGCTGTTTTACAGTGGAAGTGGTCCATGACTGGTCCCAGAGGTAATTCTTGTTATAGACAGTCATTTATCCTTTCTTATCTGGATTTTGTTTCTGCCCAGACTGACAGGTTGCGTCCGCCGACCAAAGCTCAATTGATGCTATCAAAGCAGTCGGTGGAACGGTGACCGTGGTCTACATGGACAGAGGGGGCGAAAGTGTTTCAGAGGGAAATGCGCGTTGATTCAGAATCTATCTATAAATCGCATGCTGCATCCAATCGACATGTGGCAACAACCTTCACACAAAGAGCCATGACAGAAATGACGTTGGAGTCGGAGTTTGTACGAATGTAGAGTTCTGTGGTAAGAATGCCACGGTTGTTTTTGCTCACGACCCCCCCTAACGGCCCCGGAGAATTTCCACGTTTTCACCATTACCCAAGGTGATACTACGTTGGGGATGGGGTGGGGATGGGGTGTGCACTTGCAAACCAAGTTGATGCTACGTTGGGAATGGGGATGGGGTGGGGTCTGTTAACATTCGCTTGCACTTGCAAACCAAGTTGAC